AAGACCACACAGCTCACGATCTTCCACTACCTCGGAGCTTTTAGATCAACTTTAAAATACCGCCCCTCCATCATCTGCCGGGGGAGGGCCGTCCAGGTCCCCAGTCAGGTCTGGCAGTGGAAGAGAAGCCTCAGACAGATTTCTAAAGGAGATACCTGTTTTGAGGGTGCTGATGTATATCCCCACTGCTTCTCTTAGAAGTTTCACCCCTTCTTCCTTCATTAAGGCCACGAGATTTGTGTCAGGCTCGTCTTTGGCAAGGCTCACACTAATCTGAGAGAGAGAGCAAAGGGAGGCGATGAATGACTTGAGGGACACTATCATGAACGTGAGGGCTGAGCAATCTCGGAACTGTGGACATTTCCAAAGGAAAGGCGGAGAGCGGCCACATCTGTACAATCCCTAACAATATTTCTTCTCAACTCCTTTCTCCAGGGCAGAGAAGGCGAATGTTAGAACCCATTTCCCTAGCTAAAGCAGAGATACTGACTAGGTACAAGTTTCTCCAGAGTTTCCAAAAGCATCACAGTTAGACCCTCGTCTGCAGAAGGGACTCAGCGAGGGACGGACCACTTTTCTCATGAGACTACAGACAGGGAGGACTCGGACAAGGAGATAGGAAACACAAACCTCCACTTCATCCACGCTGTTTTCATCAGACAAGTTGGGGATTTCCACATGTCCTTTGTATTGCACTCCTGACTTCGAGGTACCTGTCGAAAGTAACGCAGTTCCATTAGCAGCCTCCTCCTATGCAGGGAATGTCCTGCCAGAACACTGTCCACTTAGGCTTCTCCTAAACCTCCATTCTAAGGGCCCCTCTATTCTCAATGAATGCCACATGCCAGAAACAATCAACGGCACCCCAATGTCTTTTCTCACCCCATTATTGGAGAGAAATAATGGGTTACCACAGCATGGTACTGGGAGCTACACAAACAGAGCAGCAGCCCAGCTCCTGTCTGGGTAGCCACTAGCTCAGTTCTGTCAGAACACCTGCTCTGAAAATAAGCATTTATTTATCAATATGACTGATTACAGCCATTTCATATTTGCTTCTAGCTGAGATCATCATTGAGAAACAAGAAGTGGACAGAGACAACTATACGCAGGTGGAGATTTACAGAAAAAAAAAAAAGCTCTTATCTCAAAACATCTGTCAGGAAATGTGTCCTTGGTGTAATGATCCTTCTGTCTCAGAAGACCTCCCTTCCACGACCTCCCAGGAGCCCTCAAGCTGCCATCCATTCCTGTGATGCCCACGAACAGGAGGAACTCTCAAAGAAAACACCATCCTATTCCAGCATGCATCTATTTCATACTTATCACATGTAGAATTCTGGTATCAATTCTTAGTTTCCGTATTTTAATTTTATGTGTGCGCATGCGCCTGATGAGAGACCCCTGAGGCCAGAGGCATCAGATCCCTCTGAAGGAGTCACAGGTGGCTGTGACTCGTATGACGTGGGTACTGGGAACCAAACTCCTGTCTCTCCACCCCAATTTCTTTATTTTAAAAACGTGTCACCGGGGGCTGGAGAGATGGCTCAGCGGTTAAGAGCATTGCCTGCTCTTCCAAAGGTCCTGAGTTCAATTCCCAGCAACCACATGGTGGCTCACAATCATCTGTAATGAGGCCTGCAGGAAGAATACTGTACACATAATAAACAAATAAATAAATATTTTAAAAAAAAGTATCACCGATGACTTTTTTTGAATGGTGTATTTATTGCCCTCTAGAATTCACAGCCATTTTTCTACCTGAGCTTCCCCATTCGTGGGACTACAGGCATGGATCACCACACCCCTGCTCCCCCTTGCAGGGTTTTTCTATGTAGTTCTGGGTGTCCTGGGTCTTGCTCTGTAGAGATCCACTGCGGGGATTAAAGGTGAGCACCACCACTACCCATCAGGAACTGTATCCCTAATCCCATCCTCTTTATAAACTTTGGGGCTTCTTACTGACGTGCACTAATTTTTAGGAGCACACATTAACTATGACAAAACTTACTCTACATCTCTAGGCCTCAATTTATCAGTATGTTATATAAAAAGGAGACTGGACAAGATGGTCACAGCTTTCCTCTTGGCCAGTTGGGGGCGCCATGTTAACAATCAAGGCTCATCCTCCCCAGACTCGAAGGAAACACTGGTTTGTACAGCACCTGCCTTTGTTGACAGCTCACCAACCCCTGGCTTCCTCAGATGGGCTGTCTGTGGACATGCTGGGGTAGAATTAGACAGTTTCTAGTCATTATTGTTCTTTTCTGCTTCCTTTAACTTTATACTTTCTTGTTGCATGAAAAATGTGCCCTCCCTGTGATTGGACCACACTACTTTAGATATGTTTTGTAAAAACAAAAAAATCACAGACAGATCTACTTTCATCCTCTTTACTATTCACTTGGAAAATATTTCATACGGCTCCATTTTTTTTCCCTTAAGGATATCACAGAAAGGACATGAAATCAGAAGAGAGTAAAACAGCCCCAAATAACATTTACTCATCAGCTACAATAATACAGTGGTCTAACATATCAAGATTCGCACTGGAGTTAGAAAGTGACCGCAGCTAAAAGAAAATAAATGAAACCCCCCCCCTCTTTAAATCATTCATAAGACAAACACAAAATAAACCAGCCTGAGCCTCTATCACCTTATGAATCCTAAGGCAGAACAGGTCCAAAGACGTATCACCCCACCAGGCTTTCCTCCAAAGCAGCACTGTCTTCTCCTTTCAGTAAGCTAAGAGCAGTGGAGACGGAGCTTCTCTGGCCTCCGACGCCTGGCTGGTCCTTACCTGTCCAGTTGAGTTTGATGGTCCACTCGTAGAAGAAGATAAGTTTGCCTTTCCGGTTGTTAATGGATGCCTCTCCATCAAGCTTGTTCACTTCCGTCACCTCACACTTGCCCTCCTCATTTTCTACTCGGACTGCCAGGAACAGAGTTTTCAGCTTTTCTGTGGACCAATTTGAAGCATCCCTTTCCGTCCTGCAAAACAGAAGCAGAGCTATAGCAGGCAAGGGAGGGAAGACTTTCCAGGCAGCAAGGCGTGCAAGGTTAAAGGAAGCAGAAAAGAACAACAACATCAAACCCCCTAAATTCTACCCCAGCATGTTCACAAACAGGCCATCTGGGGAAGCCAGGGGGTGGTGAGCCGTCGACAAAGGCAGGTGCTGTACAAACCAGAGTTAAGTCGGTTCTTCCCGTCTCAGGAGGATGAGCCTTGATTGTTAACATGGCGCCCCCATCTGGCCAAGAGGAAAGCTGTGCCCATACTGCTGAAGCCAGGAGAGCAAAAGACAGCAAGCATGTCGCTAAGAGCCCCAGTAAATAAAAACCAATAATGCTAGTCTCATTAGCACTGTTTTCGCGCCCGTCGTACTCAGACTGCTTTAAATGCCCTACACATTCTATGCCATCTAGACTGTGCCACAAAGTCCACAAGAAAAATCAGGTCAAGTACTGTTAAGAGTCTTGAGGCAGGGTCAGAAAAAAAAAAGACAGCGAAAATCAATTCTTTACCCCTCTATTAAAGTGATGTAAGCAAACGAAGCAGCAATTGAGTAAAACAAAAAAATACAGTTGAGTAAAGTTCAGTAGCGCTCTGAGTAACCTTGCTTCTAGGAGTTTTCATAAAGATAAGAAGGCTTCTAAGAACACCTAGGCTGTAAAATCGTGACTGCTCGGCAACCTGGAGTTACAACAGAACTTAACAGTTCCGGGTGAGAGCCTGCATCGCGTTCAGCATCCCGAAGCTCCAAGCGCCCTGCAGCTCACGTTCCAAGGCTTCTCCCGATGGACTGAGGCACAGTCCCCTATGACTTTTACTTTCACGGCAACCCACAAAACAGTAACTACCGCGCCTGGGGCTCGAGACCTCCCCAGCAGTCTCCCAACACAATCGGTAAGGGTTTAGATCTCAAGGACGCCGCGGCCACGTGTAGGAAGTATCTCCGGGCTCAGCCTGGATGCGGCAACTAGGGCGCTCTGTTCTATTCGCTCTGAAATTCCTCCTTTGGGACTCAGCGGTCTATGGCGAACCCCTCGCCCCAACACCGCGATGGTGGCGAGGGATGGAGAGGACCCCTGCTACAAGGAAGGACCCACGCCCAACCCTGGGGCAGGGCTGTTTGGGCCCCAGATCTGTACTCGCCAAGGTTCCAGGCAACCCCAAACCCTAGCCTGGTAACAGTGCTCCTGCGGCCTGTCTTGCTGGCCCTTACCAGTGCCAGTTGTTGACGTTGGTGGCGTCCGCCCGCTCCTCCACGATCCAGCGTGGGTCTCCCTCACCCCACTTGGCCATCAGCTCACTTATCGCACCGCTACCAGCTCCCAAGCAGCCGCAGCCACAGCCTCAGGACCGCTCGGTCCCAGCCGCCCGGCAGCGCCTGGAAACTACTAGAAGCGGCAGCAGCACCTCCTGGCTTGCTTTTCCCTCCACCCCCACCCCCTCCCCGCCTTAACTTCCGGCTCCTCCTCGTTCCTACCAGGTACTTCCGTTCCGGTTCCCCGAACCGTAGGTTCTGTAACTTCTGGAGTTCTAACTCTCTGTTTATTTTAAACAGAAGTCCCTGAAGTCTAAGCCCTCAAACTAAGTATCCTCACCGACAGGGACACAAAATATTCGATTCATTGTTTCCTCAGGACCTAAGTCGACCCTGCTGAGCCTGTTGGGATTTGTAGTTTTGTTAAACGATCCTGCCGATAATTGCGGAAGGTCACGCTGAAAGTAAAGGAAATGACCTAGCGCGATGCGCAAAGTGCTTTTGGGAATGGTAGTCCAGAAGCCCCGCAGCCCACCGGGAGAGCGGAAGGATGACAGAGGCCACGGAACTACAACTTCCAGGATGCTTTACGGCTCTTTCACCTTCTTCAGCCCCTCTCGCGACTGTCCCCTTCGGCCCCGGTTTAGCCTGTTTAGAAGAGCTGGTCCGGTGGCTGAGCCTGGCGCCGTCCTGAAAGGGAGGGCTCGGTCTGGAAGAGGTGAGGGTGTCCGAAGCCCCTGTCTGGGCCGCGTGTCTAGTTGAACCCACCCTTTCCGCATCCTTATTCTTTTCCTGTCTTCTCTGAGGCGTCTCTACATTCTCACTACCGACCTGATTCTTCTGGTCGGGATCATTCTTGGGAGTTAGTATGTTCGGAGCTGGAGCTGCCAGCGAGCCTCAGCAGCCAGTTGAGAACGCAGCATTTGGTTCTGAACGAGCGTGTCCTCTCCCAAGGACCCTACAGGCTCTGGCGTTGTCGTAGACGCGTGGCTTTCTGGACGTTCCTCTGTCGCCCAGCTTCTCAGGTCTCTGTTCTTAATCATCCGCCTTAAAAGCTAGCCTAGCTTCTAGTAGCTGCTATCTACAGTGCCCCCAGGCAAAGAGCGCCTGGTTGTGGGGTTTTGTTTTTGTTTTTTCCTAATGATCTGTCTCCCTTCCCTTGTGGACCCTCAGGTACCGGTGACAAGATCAAACCTCGGAAACATTTTAAATCCCGTTGAAGCACCCTTTTTGATCACTCTGAACATTGTACAGGATTGCTTTACGCCTTCTTAAAATCATTAGATTGTTACTGTTTTACTTGCCAGATAAACCACAGTCCAGTCTCTTTTTGCCGCTAGAAGTACCGATTGATACAGGGTATCTATCCATTGCCCGTATCCACTGCTGTAGTCTGGTTAAAGGTTCTAAAAATTATCTTGTGGAATATTGTTTTGTTAGACACATTCCTTGTTTATTCGTAGGACCACTGTAAAGATCTGCTGTAGTTTTCCTAAGAGTGAAAAAAAAAAGGTAGAAGAGGCATGAAAGACAGAAGAACCTGGGCTGTAGTTGGGACTCGGAGTGATTAGGAAAGCTGTTTTCCTGGTCAGTGGGAGTCTCCTAGGGCTACCTTTTCGGACTGCTCTGAAGACAAATGAATGACAGAGGTATTTATGAAATTGCACACATGCTAGAGACACGTACATGTTCTACACACATCTTCAGTATTTGTGGCCTGCTTTAGAATTTCTCTAAATTTTGAGGATTGTTTTTTTTTTTTTTTTTTTTTTTGATTTTTCGAGACAGGGTTTCTCCGTAGCTTTTGGTTCCTGTCCTGGAACTAGCTCTTGTAGACCAGGCTGGCCTCGAACTCACAGAGATACGCCTGCCTCTGCCTCCCGAGTGCTGGGATTAAAGGCGTGCGCCACCACCGCCCGGCGAGGATTGCTTTTTAAACTTTTTTTTTTTTTTTTGGTAGAATGCTTTGCTAAAAGGTGTGAGGCCCAAAGTTAAATTCCCACCACTGCACATAAATGAATGAATGAATGAATGAATAAATAAATAAATAAATGTCTCTAGTTTTAGCTGGGCAGTGGTGGTGCACACCTTTAATCCCAGCACTAGGGAGGCAGAGGTAGGCAGATCTCTGAGTTCTTGGCCAGCCTGGTTTACATAGCGAGAAAGTTCTACATAGAGAAACCCTGTCTCGAAAAACAGACACCAAAAAAAAAAAAAAAATTGTTTTGTCTTAGGTACCATTTAAGATTAAGTAATAAAAGCTAATGGTGGACACATTAGCTTTCTGTCAGGCAGTAAGACTTTGCCCTTTTTTCTAGTTTAGTCCTTGTTCTTAATAAGGCGGAATTATGCCTGCTGTCCCATTTCACACGAGGAGATGTCAGTAAGGTATTGGATGCCTAAAAGTTGTAAGGTCCAGTGTTTATTAGCTGCTAGGCATTTTGTTAGGTTTTCTAAATACTGTTTATTTTTTACTATAAGTCAGTAAGGCAAGATAGCATTCCTCCAAGGCTCAGAAACAGAGCCATTGGCCTTTTGACTTTGAGACCCTATCAGGTGCTGTGGAGTTTTGATTATTGGGTTAAACCACAGTACCCACTTTTACCAAGTTTAGTTAAAAAGAACTTGTTTTCACCTAATTTTAGAACAGTTATAAGAAGAATTTGGAATCTCTTGGCTAGTATTATTTATTTTCTTTCCTTGGTCGTGATCCCAAAAATTGGCCCCATAATTGACCACATGATTAATAAAATACTCATGACTTCGTGATACAGGCAAGATAATTCTGATTCTTTTAGTTGTTTTCCCTTCATTTGTGGCAGGCACTTAAACAGCATACAGGGAGAGAGGGACATTCGTTAGCTGTGATCAACTATCTTTCCAGAGCCTAGAAGGGTGTCTCAGAGGTGGCACTCGGTATAAATATTTGTTAATACATGAATTTACTTGTTCCATTTGGGCAAGCTTTGGCTGATCTTTGTATGTTCGGCAAAACTATGGTGAATCCTTAGAGCGTCTGCTTCTCTTATCACATCCCCTTTGCTTGGGTACCCGAGCTGTCATGTGATCCTTCAGGAGGAAGATGATGTCTTGCCCTTTTTATAGTTCTCATAACACCTGAGAGTACTTGAACTAGAGTATGAATGTTTGTGTCTGATAACATGATCTGATGAATCTGGCCTCTGTGGCAGGTACTCTGCCAGATTCTTTCCTACATCCCTTATTTCTGGGAGCAGTTAGTAGTGTAACAGTTTCTGGAGAGATCCAGAAGGGACCTACACCTGCCTTCCTTTCCCTCCAGATGAGCCGGACAAAGGGTGATGAGGAGGAGTATTGGAACAGCTCCAAGTTCAAGGCTTTCACTTTTGACGATGAAGATGATGAGCTCTCACAGGTAGGTGTCCACAAGTGCTAAGAGGCATAACTTCCTCTCGGGTGCCTCTCTAAAGCTTCTGCTCTCCAGTAGGCTCAGAATGTTAGGTAGATCTTCAGAAAAGCCTGCATCGGCATCCTACCCTACACGAATGACTTAAGATCATCAATGAATGCCTAGAAAAGCCCCATCCTAGCTCAGTTTTCAAGGCTCTTGATATGGTGGGTAGCTCTGTGCTTTGGACCTGGGATAGGCAGCATATCATGGTGCAATCGCATGGTAGAACAAACTGTTTGCCTCAGCCAGAAAGCAAAGAGAAATAGGACAGCGTGCAGCATGGGGGCTCTACCTCTTAGGTTCTACTTCCTCCTCATAGGGCTGTCCTGAAGACCAAACTTATAATGTATAGGCTTTTTGGTTACCTTCAAAATCTGAACATATAGTGGCCTATGAGATGACTCAGTCAGGAAAGGTGCTTGCCACGAGCCCAGTGACTTGAGTTTAGTCTCCAGAACCGACTCCTTAAAGTCGTCTTGCTTGGTGAGGTTCTGTCGCTGTGACAAATGTGACCAAAGGGAAGTCAGGAAATGGCTTACTTCAACTCTCAGCTCTCTGGTCACACTCCATCCCCGAGAGACGTCAGTGCAGGAACCTGGAGGCGGAAGCTGAAGCAGAGGAGCTCTGCTTATCGGCTTGCTTAGCCTGCTTTCTTGTAGCACCCATGACCTTCAGCCCAGCCAGGGCTGGCACTGCCCAAAGGCGAGTCGGGTGGGGGCATCTTCTCAGCTGAGGTCCCCTCTTCCCAAGTGCCTCTAACCTGTGTGAAGCTTACATAAAGCTAGCTACCACCACCTGTCCTTCTTTGTAGTGGAATGAATGTACCTGTATACACACATGATACATACATGCACACATACTAGATTAAAATTAGCAGCCTTCATAGAGAGAAGCCCTTAAAAAAGAGCTGACTTTATCCTTACAATTACCTTTTTAAAAAATTACAAATCTTTTATTCATGTGATTAAAATTTTTTGATGTTATTACTATCTTTTTTTTTTTTTGAAACAGGGTCTCATGTAACCAAGGCTAACCTTAAATTTGGTAGATAGTTGATGAAGACCTTGAACTTCTGATCTTCCTGCCTCTGTCTCCCTTTTAACTCTTTTTTGTTTGTTTTCGAAACAGGGTTTCTCTGTGTAACAGCTCTGGCTGTCTTGTAACTTGCTCTGTAGACCAGGCTTGCTTGACCTCAAAGATCTGCCTGCCTCGGCCCCCTGAGTGTTGGGATTAAAGGCGTGCGCCACCACCACCTGGCTCCTTTTCTACTTTTAAAGAATTTTTATTATATGCATTTATGTGTGAGGATGCACATGAGCCACAGTTTGTGTGTTGAGGCCAGAGGACAGCTCGCAGGAGTCAGTCCCTTCCACCATGTGGGTCCTGAGGATTGGTGGCAAGCAAATGCCTTTACTTGATAGCCATCTTATAGGTTCCTGTTACTTTCATTTTCTCTTTTCTTTTTGCCCCATCTTTCTTTTTTTTTTTTTTTTTTTTGGTTTTTCGAGACAGGGTTTCTCTGTGGCTTTGGAGCCTGTCCTGGAACTCGCTCTGTAGACCAGGCTGGTCTCGAACTCACAGAGATCCGCCTGCCTCTGCCTCCCGAGTGCTGGGATTAAAGGCGTGCGCCACCATCGCCCGGCTTGCCCCATCTTTCTGTCATAGCGTCTCACCGTATAACCCTAGCTGGCCTCAAAATCACAGAGATCTGCTGATCTCTCTCTCTCTCTCTTTTTTTTAAAGATTTATTTATTTATTACGTATACAGTTCTGCCTGCATGTACACCTGCAGGCACCAGATCTCATTACTGATGGTTGTGAGCCACCATGTGGTTGCTGGGAATTGAACTCAGGACCTCTGGAAGAACAGTCAGTGCTCTTAACCGCTAAGCCTTCTCTCCAGCCCCTGCTGATCTCTTGAGTGCTGGGATAAAATGTATGCTGCTGAATCCACATACCCAGGTTTTTTTTTTTTTATTAAAAAGATTATTTTTTTGTCTTTTATTATAGCTGCCTCTATCTCATGAGTGCTGGGATTACAGGCATTGCCGCCACACCCAGTTTATATCATTGCTATTTTTAAGATGGAATCTTGTATGTTACTTAGAGTGATCACAAATTCTTGGACCCAAAGCATCTTCCTGCTTTTGTTTCCTGGCAGTTGGAACCAGAGGCACACACCCCTGCACTTTGATAGCTTGTTTTTGAAAAATGACCTATTTGGAAATAGTCATTTTTAGAGATGTAAGACTCAGATTTTGCAGACAAATCGTAGATAGAATATGAATAGAATTCAAAAGTGATTGAACCTCCACAATGGTGTCTACAATGCAACTTGATTTCTAGGTGGGATTTAGACTACAGATAGTCTTTGGCACTCACTAAGTTAGCGGTGAGACAGGACAGAGTGAGCACGGCCAGACGACTGCTTTATGTCCCTCTTCAGTTAAAGGAATCCAAACGGGCAGTGAATAGCCTTCGAGACTTCGTGGATGACGACGATGACGATGACCTGGAGCGAGTCAGCTGGACTGGGGAACCCGTGGGAAGTAAGCTGAAGAGACCCTGCGAGGGGATCTTGTCAGGAATGACGGCCAGTCAGCCCGGACGTTAGCAGCAGGCAGAGCCACGTGGAGAAGCACCAGTAATGCCTGTGTGACTGGATCTGCTGTGCAGTGGGTGCTTGACTGGCTGCTTCAGACTCACGGGGCCTTGTTAACACTGCAGATTCCTAGGCCTTATGTGGTCATATTTGGGAGCTGTTAGCTTCAATAAACGAGCTGTTAAGTCATAACATGTTAGCAGAACTACAGCCCTTAGCCAACACGTTTTAAATATACAATACCACTTAATTTCTTCATAGACTCTGTTTAGGTAGTATAGCATGATTTGAAAACAAAGAAAGGAATTGGCCGGGCATGCCTTGAATCTCAGCACTTGGGAGGTAGAGGTAGGCGGATCTCTTGAGTTTGAGGGCAGGTGGTCTACAAAGTAAGTTCCAGGACAGCCAGGGCTACCTGTGTTGAAAAAAAAAAAAAACTGCAAACAAAAAAAGAGTGAACTAGAAAAAGCCCCAACCTAACACACACCTAACCTACTAAATTAGTTACTTTAGTAACTGTTCAAGAAACAGGAGAGGCAGAACTCTTTCCCAGTATCTGAGGGCTGTTTGGAGCTCCTTCCATTTGTTCATCCTAATGATTAGCCTACTTGATTGTATCTCCTGCTGGCCAGGACACCAGGGTCTCTTGAATAGGCTTAGATTTGTTGACTATTGGGTATCAAGGACTGATGTTGAGGAGACTTACTCAGTTCTTACCATCCTGCAGGCATCTCATGGTCCATCAAAGAGACTGCTGGGAATAGCGGGTCAGTCCCTGAGGGGCGTGACCAGCTAAAGGGCCGAAACAGTTTCTACACACAGCTCCCCAAACCTCCATCCGCCTACTCCCTGAGCAGCTTCTTTAAAGGTAAGGAGTGGGTGAGGGACAGGGATGTCCTTCACTCATCAGGAAAGGTCGTGCTACCGTTTTCATTGGCTGGAGTTCTCATCTGAGCAGGCAGCTTAGTGCTAGAACTGGGAGGAATGAGAAGTCCTCAGCATGTGTAGAACATAAATGAAATTGACAGCCCTGTGTCAGGTACCAGAGAAACTGCCTAGATCAATATTCCTCCCTGCCTTTTATCGCCATCCTCTAGGGAACCTGTGTGTGTCCCTGGTGGGGATGTGTAACTGTGCAGCCACTTTGGGTGTTAGTGTGGCAGTTTTTAAAAAGTTGACCAAAGAATTAGCATCTGAACCAGTTATCACTTCTAGGTAATTAATAAACGAACTAAATGCAGGCACTTGAGCAGATGTTTATATGCTAATGTGTGAAGACACACTGTTCACAATAGCCAAAAAGATCTAAATAGTGCATATGTTCCTTCTGCACTAAAAGGATAAGTGAAACATGGAATACAGATAAAACAGACTTACTTAAATGGGAATGAAAGATATGTGTATAATAGGGGTGAACTTTAGGAAATTATACAGGGTGCAATAAGCCACAAAAGAGCAAACACTGTATTAACCCCACTCATGTTGATAGATGTTAGCTCGATTTGGGAAATAACCAGGCTAGCTAAAAGATAAACAATTATATTTTTATGTATTATAAGAGAAAAAACTCACAAAACAGGAATGAGAAGTCCAAGCTCAGCTGTGCCGCGAGGGAGCCACAGAGAGAGCATACCTGGGCCATGCGCCACATTCCCCCCCCCCCCCCCCCGGGTCCCACCTCTTAAAGATAATTGGTTAACAAGGCTTGCCCATCAGATAGATAGATAGATAGATAGACAGACAGACAGACAGACAGACAGATAGATAATTGGTTAACAAGGCTTTCCCATCAGATTTGGATGGATGGATGGATGGATGGATGGATGGATACGGAAGGTAGAATGGCAAGTTTGTCAAGAATGTCCAAGTTTGTGGAGGGAGTGGAGAATTACTGTTCACAGGCAGAGTCTCAGGGATGGTGAGAGTCACTGTAGGACAGCGTGATTATACTTCATGTCACTAAATTCTACACTTGAAGATGTTGAAAGTCACTGGGCGGTGGTGGTGTTGTGCGCACCTTTAATCCCAGCATTCAGGAGGCAGAGGCAAGAGGATCTCTGAGTTTAAGGCCAGCCTGGTCTACAGAGCAAGTTCCCAGAAAGGTTCCAAAGTTACAGAGAAACCCTGTCTCGAAAAACCAAAAACAACAATAACAAAAATCTATGAAAGTGGTAAATTTTGTGCTGGTTTAGACAGCACATATACTAAAATTTGAACAACATAGAGAAGATTAGCATGGCCCCTGCGAAAAGATGACACACAATAAAACCAAAGAAAGTGGTAAATTTTATGTATATTTTACTATACTTAAAATTTTTCTCTCTCACCCTTGTTTTACTAGGACATCAGAGTTCTGAAGTTGAATAAAAGATTTTATTGTATTTTATTTTGTTTTTTATTTGTATGAGTGTTTTTCCCTTTATATATGTCTGTGCACCATTTGCATGCCTGAGGCCTACGGAGGCCAGGAGAGGGTGTTGGTGCCCTTCAAACTGGAGTTACACATGGTTGTGAGCCACCATGTGGTTCCTGGGCATCAACCTGGTCCTCTGGAAGGGCAGCCAGTGCTCTTAACTCTGAGCCATCTCTCCAGCCCTGAATTAAAGCTTTCTAAAGCCTGCTTCTCCATAGTGTATGTCAAGCTCTATGTGCCCCATATCCTCACCAAGTATGGGTGGTCTGACTTGAACTGTTGACATCTTCCTGCTGTGTTCTTTCCCTCAGGCAGAACTAGACCTGGGAGTTTCCAGTCCCTGTCTGATGGTAAGCTTCAGCCCCTTTTCTTGGTTGCTATTTAGGGTACAACCTGGAGAATCACGGAACAGGTGGTAATTGGATGAGTAGATTAACTTCCTCTGAACCTAGGGAAAGTGTCTGGTGCTACGCGAGGAGGTAGAAGTCACATAGGCTTCATTGCCGGGGATGACTGCTTGGGCTGCAGGCAGGAAAGAACGGAGTTCTACCTTTGGCCATGGAGATGTCCCAGGAGACAAACGGGTGGGTTGTTTTGTTTTTTTTTTGAAGGAGGTTCATTGGGTAGGTAGCACAGTGGGTGGGTAGAGGAACTTATATCTAGGCTGGTGTCTTAGTCACTGTTCTATTGCTGTGAAAAGACACCATGATGAAGGCAACTAGTATAAGAGGAAAGCACTTCATTACAGCTGCTTACAGTTTCCGAGATTTAGTCCATTATATTCATGGCAGGAAACATGGCAGCATGTGTTGCAAGGGAAGGGCCTTTTGTTCGTCCCAGCTGCCCATAACCAAAATAGCCACACAAAACCTGTATTGATTAAATTACTGCTTGGCCCATTAGCTCTAACTTCTTATTGGCTAACTCTTATACTTTAACCCATTTCTATTAATCTCTGTATCACCACATGGCAGTAGCTTACCGGCAAACATTCAGCAGCATGTCTTACTCTGGAAGCGGATCCATGATGGCTCTCCCACTCCGCCTTTCTTCCTCCCAGCATTCAGTTCTGTCTCCCTGCTTACCTAAGTTTTGCCCCATCAACAGGCCAAGGCAATTTCTTTATTCATTAACCAAGAAGAGCAACACATAGACAGAAGGACCTCCCACACCAAGCGTGCATGACACTGGAGCAGTATCTGAGAACGACATCCTGATCCATAGGGAGAGAGAGAGAAGCAGTATCTGAGAACGACATCCTGATCCTTAGGTAGAGAGAGAGAAGCAGTATCTGAGAACGACATCCTGATCCTTAGGTAGAGAGAGAGAAGCAGTATCTGAGAACGACATCCTGATCCTTAGGTAGAGAGAGAGAAGCAGTATCTGAGAACGACATCCTGATCCATAGGTAGAGAGAGAGAAGCAGTATCTGAGAACGACATCCTGATCCATAGGGAGAGAGAGAGAAGCAGTATCTGAGAACGACATCCTGATCCATAGGGAGAGAGAGAGAAGCAGTATCTGAGAACGACATCCTGATCCATAGGGAGAGAGAGAGAAGCAGTATCTGAGAACGACATCCTGATCCATAGGGAGAGAGAGAGAAGCAGTATCTGAGAACGACATCCTGATCCATAGGGAGAGAGAGAGAAGCAGTATCTGAGAACGACATCCTGATCCATAGGGAGAGAGAGAGAAGCAGTATCTGAGAACGACATCCTGATCCATAGGGAGAGAGAGAGAAGCAGTATCTGAGAACGACATCCTGATCCATAGGGAGAGAGAGAGAAGCAGTATCTGAGAACGACATCCTGATCCATAGGGAGAGAGAGAGAAGCAGTATCTGAGAACGACATCCTGATCCATAGGTAGAGAGAGAGAAGCAGTATCTGAGAACGACATCCTGATCCATAGGGAGAGAGAGAGAAGCAGTATCTGAGAACGACATCCTGATCCATAGGGAGAGAGAGAGACTCTGGGCTTGTCATGGGCTTTGGAAACCTCAGAGCCTGTCCTCACTGACACACTTCCTCCAACAAGGCTACACCTCTTAATCCTTCTAATCCTTTAAACAGTGCCACTCCCTGGCGACTAAGCATTCAAATACATGAGCCTATGGGGGCCGTTCTTATTCAAACCACCTGGCTGCTTGACCTGCACTTGCTCCCTGATCTCAGAGTTGTTCTTGACCTCCACACTTCTGGTATGCCATAAACATGCCTGCACATGTACTTGGACACACACACATGCATGCGTGCACATATAATGTGGGAAGGAAGCAGGAGAGAAAAGAATGATAAGAAACAGGCAGCATAGCTGGGCGGTAGTAGGGCACGCTTTTAATCCCAGTACTCAAGAGGCAGAGGAAGGTGGATCTCTGTGAGTAAGAGGCCAACCTGGTCTGCAGAGGGAGTTCCAGGACAGTCAGATTACACAGAGAAACCCTGTTTTGAAAGAATCCAAAAAAAAAAAAAAAAAAAAAAAGGAAAACGAAACAGTGCACAGTGCCTTCTAAACTGGTTTCTGGTTCCTTTTCAGCTCTGTCAGACACACCTTCCAAAAGTTATGCTCCAGAACTGGGGAGGCCTAAGGGGGAATACAGAGTGAGTTACAGAATTTCTCTTCCTTTTTCCTCTCTATACTTACTTAGTTGTAAAATTACATTTATTTATGGTGTGTGTGTGTGTGTGTGTGTATATGTATGTGTTGGCCACATACCAGGTACAGGATGTGGCACTCAGAGGACAACTTGAGGGAGTTGGTTCTCTCCCTGGGTCATTACGTTTCCATCAAGTACCTCTCTGCAAAATCATGTCACCAACCTTGATTTTGTTTTTCTGAAATCTGGTCTCCATCTGTAGCCCAGGCTAGAGCCTGGCATTCACCAGATAGTCCACACTGGTCCAGAACTTACAGGAATTCTCTTGTCTTAGTCTTTCAAGTGTTGAGATAATAGTTGTGAACAATCATGTTCAGTTCAGTTATATCTTAATATTAGTGTGACAATTCTTTCCCATAGACTATTTCTCCCATAGGTTAAAGATTGAATTTGAGGCATAGATTTGGTACACTAGTAAGTCAGAGCCCTTAATGTATGATTCATGTGCTGCTAATATTGCAGGACTATAGCAACGACTGGAGCCCCAGTGATACAGTGCGACGTCTCCGCAGGGGCAAGGTAAGGCTACTGACGAGAAAACTCTTATAGGAGTCTTTGGCAAGGTGAGTAGCATATTCCACAGGAAGGATTTCTTGACTTCCTTTCCCGTTCCCATTTCTGAGTTGAAGTGGTTTTTAGGAGCAAAGCAAATCTATTCAAGTTAGGAGTGAGCTGCAAAATCTTTGACTCTCTGGGGTTTGGAGTGGCTTCGCCAGCATAAGGGAAACAGTGGAGGATGAGCGTAGCCATGGTGGTAGAGCACACCTATAACGCTAGCACTCAGTAGGCTGGGGCAGGAAAATAGCAGCTATAAAGCTACCCTGGGATGCAGAGTGGAGGCCCTCTCTCAAACCTGCTCTTACCCCACAAGAAAGAGAGTTGATTTTTCTACATGGTGTGGGATAAGTGTTGAGGTTAATTGTTTTCTTTTTAAATATAGATCCCAATCTTTCTTAGCACTGTTGGAAAGACTTTTTCTCATTGAAATTTGGGAGTTTTTTTTTTATTTTGTTTTTTTAAATCAGTTGATTATTTAGTGATAGTCTTTCTTGTGTGAAATTCTAGGAGAGCAGATGAGTGTTTTGTGGGTTAGGAACAGGAGGGCATTAATGTCAGCATGGACAGAGGGACTGTTTAAGGGTGATAGAAGTTTTCTGTATCTTTGTTGTCGTGACTACTAGGATGTAGGCACTTTCAAAGCTGAGCTATACACTTGCATAGGGTGAGTTTTATTGTATGAAAGTTACACATGAAGAAAAAGAGATTCTCTGCTGGCTTGGTCAAGACTTGAAGGCATCAGCATCCTCCAGGGCATCACATGGAACTAGGGTATGGTGGGACCTGCAGGTTCACAGAGCATAGAGAACAGTGTGTGAATACAGAGGTTCTCTCTGGTTGTTTCCTTTCATTGTTGCCCTTCCCTCACTCTCCGGTGACCAAGGAATACGGGCAGTTGTCTCCCTTACATACTCTCTGTGTTCTTACTCGGCAGGTCTGCTCACTAGAACGGTTCCGCTCCTTACAGGACAAGCTGCAGCTCCTAGAGGAGGCAGTGAGCATGCACGATGGAAACGTCATCACTGCGGTAAGTGTGAGCTGTGTTCTCAGTTGTTCAGTAGCTCCTGAAAATAAAATCAAAACTGGTTTCACAGTGGGGTGCATGTCCAAGAGCCTGGCTTTCTTTCCGAGGCATAGGGTTTTCAGAAAGTTTGCTCCTGGCTCAGCCAGTGGGACATGCATTCTATGTGGTATTGTTCATTGTCACCAGAAATCAGAAGGCTGCCTCTATCTTATGCAAAGTACCCTGGCAGCAAAACGGTGTGAGAGTAGTTTCTCAGCAGACAGGATGTGGTGTGATATCAACCAGTGTGATACCTAGAACATGGCCCAGTTCCAGGTGTCCGTCCTTTCCTCCTGCCCTACAGAGAGGGTGCACTCTTGCAGTGATTTGTTGGCAGACTTTCTCTGTCCCACCAGTCAGCTCTGTCCTGCCAGCGGGCTCCCAAATAGCCACACAGAGACCTATTAATTATAAATGCTCAGCCAATAGCTTAAGCTTGTTACTAACTAGCTCTTACATCTTAAACTAACCCACATTTCTTATCTATGCTCTATCACATGGTGGTACCTTTTTTCAGCACATCATGTTTATAGCCTGCTTCTTCTGTGACTAGCTGGCAACCCCCATGACTCCTCCTTCCCAGCATCTTCTCAGATTGCCTCTCCCTCCTTAACCTCTTCCTGCCTAGCTATTGGCCAGTCAGCTCTTTATTAACAACAATAGCAACACATCTTCACAGTGTATGAAAGGATTATTCCACATTAGTGATTCCTAATAGGTCACTGGCCTTGTTCCTAGCCATGGGGTAGTCAGGGCAGCCTTTGGATGTGATACACAGGATGCACAGTCTCTGTTTCTTTCCTTCTAGGTTCTGATCTTCCTGAAGAGGACCCTGAGCAAAGGTGAGCATGGATTGAGGGAGGTCTTCATTCAGCAACACCTGCGGTTTTTATGTCAGAATTCACTAGGATCAAGTCTAGTTCAGAGGCAGCTGGGGTGGCCTGTGACTTAAGAGGACAGCCTTCTGGGTGGGGTTGTATCTGTTGAGAACACACGGGCTGTGTGTTTGAGGCAGAAGTACCTGCTGTTGGTGTGACTGAGAACTCCGAGGCTGACTGAGTGTTGCTCTAGACCAGCAGTTCTCAACCTGTGGGTCATATCAGACATCTACGTTACAGTTCATGACAGTAGCAAAATTACAGTTCTGAAGTAGCACTGAAAATAATTTTGTGGTTGGGGGTTACCACAACATGAGGAACTTAAAGGGTCTCAGCATTAGGAAGGGTACGAGCCATGGCTGTAGAGAGTAGAGGCTATTGATGGTGATGGGTTGAGATCAGGAAGAGACCATTAGCTTTGCTGGGCTTTCATGAGATGCTTCAGATGTGCGAGTGGAGAAGCCAGTCTCGGACTTGAGTGTTAGGTTGCTTCACTTCTTTCTCCACCAAACTTCTTCCTACATGCAGAGGTCCTCTTCCGAGAACTGGAGGTACGCCAGGTGGCCCTGAGACATCTCATTCATTTCCTTAAAGAAATAGGGGACCAAAAGCTGCTTTTAGATCTCTTCAGGTAAGATCTGAGCTTCTGGTCTATGAAGTTTATTAGGTGCATTTTCAGAGAACTCAGTGGGGGGCAGGGTGCAAAAAAAATTGAAGACACCGTCCTTTTCCAGAAACACCTAGAAAACAAGCTCTTGAAATGTGCCGGGACAGTTACACCAGGATAGCTACACCAGGATAGCTACACCAGGATAGCTACAGGGTACAGCCTGGTTGGGACAGTTACACCAGGATAGCTACAGGATACAGTCTGGTTGCACGGCAGGGGTGCTCGGAGTCAGCCCCAAAGTCAGCCATACTTGGACTGTGTGTGTGCTATTACGCATTATCCTGTTATCTTGTGCAAGTCACTACATTTCCTGAGAATGGGGTTTTCCCCTTGTAAAATGGAGGTGGTGGTATCTACCACACAGGGTAACAAAGACTGAAGTGAGTAGGCCAGAACAATCTGTTGCGTTAATCAGTGTTTGACAAGCATTTTCTTATACATCACTGGTTAAAGGTTCCCTCTTGTTCAAGTGTAACCAGTGATAAGCACAGTAGAAAAGGAGGTGTCAGATTCCCCATGGGAGTCTCATGGAAGTGCTAGCTAGGATTTGGGTTGCACTAGGAGGCTAGGTGAGAGGTGGACTGTCTGCCTGGTGGCCTTCTACCATCTTTTCCTTCTCTCATTCCACTCAACAGGGGTGATTTCCTGCTCCTGGATTAAACTGTGTGCATGTTTTATCCTTTCCTCAGTGTCAGTGAAGGTGTTAGAACCCCCTAGGGTTTGTGGCCTGTGGTCAGGCTGGTGTGGGAGAGCAGCTTTCCTGGCTAGGTTAGAAGGAACCGGCTGCAGTAGATGTGCCCACAGAGGCAGGCTGGTGCTCTTCCTGGCTTTCCTTTCCAGTCGGGGAAGTCTTGTCAAGCATCACTTCTGTGCCATGCAGTGTTGTTAATTACGATCTCTTCAGAATAAGGAGGGAACAAAGACCAGCTACATTATTCTCTGCATGAATGAAATGAATTGTGTAGAATGTCTGTTGTCAAGATTCTTTTGGCAGAAAACAGTTTTTTTATGTAAAGAAACAAACACACAGGTGGCCAAGGGCTAGTGCCATTTGTTTAAGCTCTTAGTGCCCTGCCCTGCCTGTTTCATTTAGTCATAACTAAATTAGGGAACAGTAGATCCATAAGTCACCCTGTGTTTTGAAGGGGTTGAGGTGGGAGAAATGCAAGAGTAGGGGCTCGAGAGATGGCTCAGCGGTTAAGAGCACTTGGCTGTTCTTCCAAGGGTTCTGAGTTCAATTCCCAGCAACTACCTTGTGGCTCACAACCATCTGTACCGGGATCAGATTCCTTCTTCCTCTGTCTTCCCTGAAGACAAAGCACTCATACACATAAAATATATGAATAAATAAATCTTAAAAAAAAGAAATACAAGCGTAAGGCTTGTGTCATTATGTAGAGACGATGAGTGGAACTGTTCTTTCTAGAGCTTGTTGGAATGCCACACCTCAGTAGATTAAACTGTCCCGCTTCCTTCTGCTTTCCCCCAGGTTCCTGGATAGAACAGAAGAGCTGGCGGTAAGTGTGGTATTTGTTTCTGTTGGGAGTCTGTTTACCAGGCATCTAAGCCAAAACCCAGCCTAGCCACCAAGCTGTCCTGTCAATTGGATTGTTCCCTTTTCTTTGTTGATGCAATCTAGAAGACAGGTATCCCGAAAATGACACTGCCAACCCTATTCCCCAATCACACACATAAACATCTGTAGTCTAGAAGAACTCTCTGAGAGTAAAGAATTTGGGTTTCTAGAGCATAAAAAGTCTACTTACAAGCTGAGGAGATGGCTCGGCAGAAAAAATGCTCACTATGCAAACATGAGAACCCTTTGTCTGGGTCCCCAGGATCTGTTGAAAAGTTGGGTACAGTAGCTATGTGTCTGTAAGTCTAGTGCTGAGGCAGTGGAGACAAGAGGATCCCAGAAGCTTGCTGACCTGGAAGTCTGGCCTCTGGTGCAGTGAGAGTCCCTGGCTCACAAGTTAACAGTGTGTATTGCTCATAACTACCTGTAACTTCAGCTTCTGGAGCTCTAATGTCTTCTGCTCCTCATGCACCTGCACTCAAGCATGTGTGGACACACTTAGAATAAATCTATAAAGAGACAATGTGGAGAGCAATAGAGAAAGTACAGATATTGGCCTCTAGCTCCTCCACATACACAAACACAGGCAAGTACACACACATACACATTCACTTAGTACTCTTCCTTTCTCATTCTCTTCCGTGTGTGTGTGTGTGTGTGTGTGTGTGTGTGTGTGTATGCCACTCTCTTTGTGCTCATATGTGTGCTTAAAGAAGTGCTATACCGGGCTGGAGAGACGGCTTAGCGGTTAAGAGCACTGACTGCTCTTCCAGAGGTCCTGAGTTCAATTCCCAGCAACCACATGGTGGCTCACAGCCATCTGTAATGAGAGCTAGTGCCTTCTTCTGGTCTGCAGCATATATGTAGGGAAAATACTGTATACATAATTAATAAATAAATCTTTAAAAAAAAAAAAAAAAAAAAAAGAAGTGCTATACCTCTGAGTGCTATCTCCGCTCTTTCTCTTCCAAGGAAACATGATAGCTTAAAATTCTTTTTTTTTTCTTTTGTAGCTGACGCATTATCGAGAGCATTTAAACATCCAGGACCCCGAAAAACGAAAAGAATTTCTTAAGACATGCATTGGGTAAGTATGGGGGAAGCAGTTTTATGTAGATGTAGTCAGGAGAAGAAAAGAGGATGAGCTGAGTGGTGGTGGCGCACACCTATAATCCCAGCACTCAGGAGGCAGAGGCAGATGCATCTCTGTGAGTTTGAGGTCATGGTCTACAAGAGCTAGTTCTAGGAGGACAGGCTCCAAAGCTACAGAGAAATCCTGTCTCAAAAGACAAAAAAAACAAAAAACAACAACAAAAGAAGAGAATGGAGTGGAGTGGGTGGTTCAGATTTAATCTTAATGTAATAAAATTAAAAGGTAATAATTTTTTATGTACCTTGTGCATTTTTTTGTGCTACGGGTCTTGAAGCCTGAGAGTGTCAGGACTGCTGCTTTAGTGCAAGCTTTCATCTCAAATGTAAATCTTCATTAAGAGCAAACAAAGTCCCAGATGTTACTGTTCTTCTGATAGAATGCTAAGTGCTCTTGGAAGTAATTAATTTTATTGTTGCCCTGCCTTTGCTATAGGAAAGGCTTCCTCAGGTTAAGCTGAAATGAGCTTTTTGATGATGTCGGATTCTTCTCTGTATGCTGTGATAACCATTAATGAATAAAGAAACTGCCTTGGCCTGTTGATAGGGCAGGACTTAGGTAGGTGGGAAAACTAAACTGAATGCTGGGAGAAAGGAAGCAGAGTCAGGAAGAAGCCATGTAGCGCCACTGGAGACAGATGCTGGGAACTTTACCTGGTAAGCCATAGCCATGTGGCGATACACAGATTACTAGAAATGTGTTAAATTAAGACATAAGTGTTAGCCAATAATAAGCTAGAGCTAATGGGCCAAGCAATGTTTTAATAAGATAGTTTCTGTATTATTATTTTGGGGCTGAGCAGTCAGAAACAAACAAACTACTCTCCATACTAGAAATTGGCGCCCAATGTGGGGCTTGAACCCACAATCCTGAGATTAAGAGTCTCATGCTCTATCAACTGAGCTAGCCAGGCACCAACAAGCAGCCTCCCTACAACATTTCGGTTTCTTTCTATGCAGCTCATAGTCTCCCAGTGGCCCCTGCTCCTCAAGGCCCATTGTTCACAGTTGTTTTAGCCATTCTTCATGGCAGGATTCCTGGGTCACATTTAGAAGTGCTTGACAGCTGGGTGCTGGTGGTATCCACCTTTAATCCTAGCATTTGGAAGGCAGAGGCAAATAGGTCTGAGTTCAAGGCCAGCCTGGTCTACATTGAGAGTTCCAGGACAGCCAGGGCTATACAAAGAAACCCTGTCTCACAAAAAAAGGCAAATTTGCTTGTCTATAAAATCCCTAATTTTAATGTTACCAGACATATAGCTATGACTTACCTGGGACAGTAATTGATTTCAGAATTCTTTCTGTGGTGATTAGAGGAACAGGCAACACTGTGTCTAAAGCAGTGGTTCTCCACCTGTGGGTCATGACCCCTGTAGGAGTCACGTATGAGATATTTATATTACAATTTATAATAGTAGTAAAATTACAGATATGAAGTAGCAACAGGAGTAGAAATAATTTTATGATTGGGAGTCACCACAACATGAGGAATTGTATTAAGGGTTCACAGCCTAGAAAGAAAGGATAGATTTAAGGTGCCTTCCACTGTGCGTGTCCCAGACTGGCTTTGAACTTGCTATGTAATCAAGAATGACCTTGAACTCCTGAACCTCCTAGCTCCACCTCACAAGTGCTGATTTACAAACACGCGTCATGCTACCACATCTGCTAAAGACATAGATTTCTGTAGATTGGTACAATCTTTGGATATTTGCCAACCTACCACCATGTTGTATAATTTAATTTGCTTTTTATTACTCTGCTCTAAAAATAGTTTACAGATTAAATAGAGTTCAGCACAGCAAGGCACAGAGCTTTGTGGGCACTTGATGATGGGCTCACTTACCAGCTTTGTGACTCACTCCCCAAATAAGCTGATCCTTACTCCTACCACAACACAGTCACTTAGAGCTGTGCATTTTGTGAACTTTCAGGAGATCCCTTTTAAGTTTTCAAAATCACAACCTCTCTCTCTCTCTCTTTTGAAATAGAGTATTATGTAGCCCAGGCTGGCCTTGAATTCCCTCTGTGGTCAAGTGTGGCCTTGATATTCTGCTTCTCATATCTCCGCCTTGTGAAAGCTGGGATATTAGGCATTTACCACCTCACTAGTCTATGCAGTGCTGGGGATTGAACCTGGGACTTCGTACACGCTGGGCAAGCCCTGCACCATCCACGTTACATCCCAAGCTCCAATTGGAAAAACTCATGCAACATCCGACTAGGTTTGCTCTGTCTCCTGCTTTTCTCTCTTGGGACACTGTAAAGGCACATTGAGAGCAGACGTGTTAAAACCATGATGTTACACAAGTTCGAATTGGTCTTAATAGTAAAAACTCAGAGTCAGATATTGGGGTGAAAGCTGAAAGGTAAGAGAAGCAGAACAGCAAGCTGCTAGTTCTTACCTCTATAAAATTCTCAGATCAAATGGGATATCATGTCTCTACAAGTCCTCAGACTGAATGTCTTCTCTATGAAACCTCATAGTGAATCCTGAGCTCCTGTTTCCTCCTGCCTTATATTCTTCTCTCTACTCAGCCATATCACTTCCCATCTCCACCTCCTTAGTCCTGGGATTAAAAGTGTGTGAGTCACCGCTGCTTGGCTCTGTTACTCTTTTAGACTGATTCAGTCTCTTGTTACCCAGGGTGGCCTTGAACTCATAGAGAGGGGTCTATGCTTCTGCCTCCCGAGTCCTAGGATTAAAGATGTGTGCCACTACTGCCTGGTCTTTATGGCTAACTAGTGTGGCTAGCTCCGCATTTGGGTCTTTGAACAAGCTCTATTTGTTAAAGCACAAAGCATCACCACACTGTGAGCCTTGGAAGGATTTAACAGCCATTTGGTATTGTTGAGTTGGGTTTGCTTTTCACATAAAAAAAAAAAAAGACACTAACTTGTGGCCCTTTACCAGTTTGCCATTTTCAGCAGAAGATTCTCCACACATACAAGACCATTACACACTCCTGGAACGCCAGATCATCATTGAGGTTAGACTCCTCTCTGCTTTCCGCATTCAACGTCTAGGCCACTCCTTGGCTCTGCACACGCTGTTTTCCTGCACAGCCTCTTAATTCTGCTCCTTTTCCTTGAATATTGTTAGGCATGCTGCTAGTCTGGAGGTATTTCATACCTCTTTATTCCAGATTGTTTATATCATCTCCACTGCCAAAATTCTTCCCTTCCTTCCTCCCTTCTTTTCTTCCTTTTCTTTTTTTCCTTTCTTTTTGTTTTTGAGACAGGCTGGCCTAGAGCTCACTATGTAGTAAGGCCATGAATTCTTGATCTTCCTGACTCCCTGTCCCAAATGAAGGGATCACAGGCATGCAATACCAAGCTCAGCTATTGAAATCTCTTAGTTAAACTTAAAATCTATGATCCATTTATAGAATTTAGTCCTCCCTGGGATATCCTAAGCAATTTCTGTGTTTTTCTTTTTTTGCTTCATTCTAGGGTGGGAAACACAATTGTTGTAGTAGGATAGGTTTTTTTCCCTGCCTTTCGCCATGGACATTGTTCCTTTTTTCACTTGGCTCCCTCCGTCACAGGCAAACGATCGCCATCTAGAGTCTGCAGGGCAGACTGAGATCTTCCGAAAGCACCCCCGCAAAGCCTCCATTCTCAACATGCCGCTGGTGACGACGCTTTTCTATGCCTGCTTCTATCACTACACTGAGTCCGAGGTACAGGCGGAGTAAGCACGGAGCATTGTTCAAATCCAGTGTTGTGAGGTATCGTCAGTGGGCTTGTGTAGTCTTAGAAATCACCCAAAACTTCTCAGGCCGTCATGAGAGTGAGAGAGCCAAAAGGGACAAAGGTTTAGGAGGGTTTGTGTGGCCATGTATGGCTGACATGCTAGCAGGGTACTGGGTGTCTCTGGTGCTGGCTCCCTTAGAGAGAGAACAGTATCATGGCAATGGATTGCTCTCTATTTACAATGATTCTTTTTTTTTAATCTTAAGTGGTTTATTTTCCCGCATACATGTCTGGGTACCAGTGCATGCCTGGTGCCTATGGAGGCCAAACAGGGTATCTGATCCCCTGGGACTGGAATTACAGATGGTGGTGAGCTGCCCCGTGGATGCTGGGAGTTGAAGCCAGGTCCTCTGCAGGAGCAGCCGGTGCTCTTGACCACTGATTCACCTCTCCAGCCCTCTTTTCTTTTTTTTTAAAAGTTTAGACCTGAGCCAGGCAGTGGTGGCACACACCTTTAATTCCAGCACTTGGTTGATGTCATCAAAGTTTCTTCTCCTCTTTCGTCCTAGGGGACCTTCAGCAGTCCCATCAACCTGAAGAAGACATTCAAGGTAGCATTTCATTAGTTCTTTTGTAGAGTAGGGTCAGAGTTTTGCATGGAGTGTATGTTACGTGATAACCCTGTACACGTCCAGGGTTAATGGTAGAAAGTTAGGAGTTTGTGGGAAGTGAGAGAATCTTAATGTTACTGTGTGCAGCAGTGTGGGGCTTGGAAGATTGGTGATCTTAGATGACCTGAGAAATTCATTGATTTTGTTTTTCATTTTACATACCAACCCCAGTTCCTCCTCCCTCCCCTTCTGTCTCTCCTCACCTCCTCACCATTCCATCACCTATCCACTCCTCAGAGGGGATAAGGGATTCAACAAAGTCTGACATACCAAGTTGAGCAGGACCAGGCCCTTCCCCCTATATCAAGACTGAGCAAGGTATCCCACCATAGGGAATGGGCTCCGGAAAGCTAGTCCATGCACCCGGGATGAGCAGAAATCCATTAGTTTTAAGGGATCAGTACCAGCAAATGTAGGCACTTTTCTAAAATTCTGAAGCACTCAGTGGATGCATTTCTGTTTGCCCACACCTCTTCTGGCCGCTGCCCTTCAGATCCCAGATAAGCAGTATGTGCTGACAGCCTTGGCGGCTCGTGCCAAGCTTCGAGCCTGGAATGATGTTGATGCCCTCTTCACCACAAAGGTAGGTGTCCTGACACTTGTGCTTCTGAGGTTGCTGGGGCGAGAAGGCCTTCTTAGGCCTCTCAAGTTCTAGGTGCCGACGAATTTTCTTCCAGCCCTCAGTGTTCCAAAATTTTAGATGTAAAGAAAATGTGAAAAAAAGAGTCTAGTCTCTACCTACTAATTTATTGGCATTTTGAACTTTTTGTTTGTTTGTTTGTTTTTCGAGACGGGGTTTCTCTGTGTAACCTGGCTGTCCTGGAACTCACTTTGTAGAGACCAACCAGGCTGGCCTCTAACAGAGATCCACCTGTCTCTGCCTCCTGAGTGTTGAGATTAAAGGTGTGCATCACCATAGCACAGCTTTTGCTTTTTTTTTTGTTTGTTTGTTTTTGTTTTGATTTTTCGAGACAAGGTTTCTATGTGGTTTTGGAGCCTGTCCTGGAACTAGCTCTTGTAGACCAGGCTGGTCTCGAACTCACAGAGATCCGCCTGCCTCTGCCTCCCGAGTGCTGGGATTAAAGACGTGCGCCACCACCGCCCGGCTCTTTGCTTTTTTGTATACATGTTTTTCAGAGCCATTTGAAAGTTAACTGTATATATCTCACTTTATTTTTCAAGCATTTATCTAAGTATTATATCTCAAGAAATTTAATATTAATACAATTATATTATCATAAATATCTGCTGTATATGATCACTTTTAAATTAGAGGTCATTACTGTTTTTAGTTGTGTATTTTTATGATTTATGTGGATGAATGTACCATGTAAATGGAGTTGTAGGTGGCTATGAGCTGCCATGTAGGTGCTGGAATTGAACCCCAGGTTTCTACAAGAGTATAAAATACTCAAAATCTCTGAGCTGTCTCTCCAGGTCCTGTTTTTAGCTTTTGTTATTTAGTTTCTGTGTTATTAGGATCCAGCGATTGTATTCAATCCTTGGGGTGTGGCTATAGTCTCTGTTTAAATATTGTGTACTGTAAAGTGTATAGTATGGTATTTTGACTTCTATAATGGAATGATTGCTGTAGTCCAAACTAATAACATGTATTCTACATCTCACCTTGTGTGTCTGTGTTAGTAATCCCCTGAAATGCTGCAGTTTTGGCAAACTTTTAGTTGAAGGTATATGATTAGCTACAGGCTTCCTGCTATATTTAAAACTGAAGATGTATTTATCCTATATTATTACCATACTCCTATTTTTCTTTCCCCTGAAAAACATTGTTTTTTATTTCTGTGTATTTGAAATTTTTTTTTTGGTTTTGTTTTTTAAATCTCATATAAATGAGATCATGTAGCTTTTTCTGTGTCTGGTTTACTTTTCTTAGCATAATAACCTCCAGGTTAGTCCATACTATCATACATTGCAGGATCTTCTTATGAATGAGCACCATTCCATTGTGTATATATGTGTGTACACAGTTTCATTTTCTGTTTTTCTAATGATAGACACCTTTTTCCTATTATAGGCCATTGTGGATAATGCTGTAATTATCATATAGGAATGATGACATTAATTTTTAAATTATGTCGTGTGTGTGTGTGAGGGGGGGTTTCTTTCTCAGGATTGGTTTATGTGAGGTCTTTTGTGGCTCCATACAAATTGGCTTAAATTTTAAATATAAAGCCGGGTGGTGGTGGCGCACGCCTTTAATCCCAGCACTGGGGAGGCAGAGACAGACGGATCTCTGTGAGTTTGATGCCAGCCTGGCCACCAGGACAGGAACCAAAAGCTACGGAGAAACCCTGTCTCGAAAAATCAAAAAAAAAAAAAAAATTAAATATAAATATTTTTTCATTCTAACCTTGAGAGTTTTCTGCTTTTTCTTCTTATTTATCATTTAGTTATGTTAACTACTAATGCAACCAACACTGTCTACAGAAGTATATAATGAGTTAGGAGGGCTGGGGCTGTGCTCAGTGGTAGTGGAGTGTATGGGTAGCGTACACGAAGCCTGGACTCATTTTCCAGCATAAACAAGAAGAGGTTCTTTGTCTACCTTCTCCAGCCTCACTGGGGAAAGTGCTGATGTCATTGCTTCCAAGACCTCACTGCCCTTTACAAATGAGCGAGTCCATGTGTGTGTAAAGATGGCGGAGTGGAATCTTTCTCTACTGACAAACTCATGGTGTGTAGGGTGTTCATCTTTTACTCCATTTAGGAGCATTCTACCCTCTACATTCCTTGACTTTTCTGAAAAATCCATCTCTCACTGTTTCTCCACCCCTCATCCTGTCTGTCTACCGTGCTTTTCTGATCTGATCATGAAACACAAGTGAGATGAGGCCAGTGTCTTAGGGATGTCTGGCTCACCTGCTGCTTTTCTTTCTTCCAGAACTGGTTGGGTTACACCAAGAAGAGAGCACCCATTGGCTTCCATCGAGTCGTGGAAATTTTGCACAAGAACAGTGCCCCTGTCCAGGTAATGGCTCTGAAAAAGAGCTAGTGATGGGGACCTGAGCTGTTCTCATTTTCTTTATGGTAGGACGATGGCTGTGCTGGGCCTTGAGATAGAAACGGGCAGGGAGGAACATTCCTGTACAAGTACTCCTTGAGGAGCCATATGGAGAATTACGCACTGTTCCTGTGATTTAGGATTGCTTGTAGGCACGGATGTCAAGGGACAGTAGGATGCCCTGGACCAGCTCTAGAGCACGGATGTCAAGGGACAGTAGGATGCCCTGGACCAGCTCTAGAGCACGGATGTCAAGGGACAGTAGGATGCCCTGGACCAGCTCTAGAGCACGGATGTCAAGGGACAGTAGGATGCCCTGGACCAGCTCTAGAGCACGGATGTCAAGGGACAACAGTAGGATGCCCTGGACCAGCTCTAGAGCACTGCCTTGTGGTCTGTGTATCTGGCTGTAGGGTAAGAAGGACTGTTCTTCCCCTTCTCCTGAGGCAGCAAGGACATGATGCATCACCTCATTTCCCACGGCAAAATCATGGTTCATAGTGGCACTGGCAGACATTGGGTATTGAATTCTTCCTCCTCCTCTAGAAATTATGTTTTTCTGCCTAGGGAGCCCTGTGTTTTCATCATTAATCAGAGTCCTTTCTCCTACAGATACTGCAGGACTATGTCAATCTGGTGGAAGATGTGGACACAAAGTTGAATTTAGCCACTAAGCTCAAATGCCATGATGTTGTCATTGATGTGAGTCCCCAAGAAGGAAACACTGAGTGAGGTCCTGGGTGGAGAGTCGGGGACACAGCATTTGCCCCAGATCCCGAAATATTTCAGCAGTCTTGACTGAATGGACCAGATAGTCCAGCAAGAATGAGTTTGGATACCAACACTCTTGTTTGTTTTCAGTCTTCCAACTGAGTTCTGTCAGCTTTTAGGTTGAATTTGGAGTCTTTAGAACTGAATCAAGCTGTACAAGCTCTGTAGGGTACCTCTCTTCAGGATGGGGTTCTGTGGATGCTGTACATCCTAACTGTAGTTTGTTGTCCCTTCCCTGAGCACAGGGGCAAAGAAACAGTGACATAAAGAGTGAGTCCCTCAGAGAAGGCTGAGTAGGGATTTGATTGTGTTTTGGTGTGCAGACCTGCCGAGACCTGAAGGACCGTCAGCAGTTGCTTGCGTACAGGAGCAAAGTTGATAAAGGATCTGTTGAGGAAGAGAAAATCGATGCCATTCTCAACAGCTCGGTCAGTATCTCCACTTACCCTCCAGTGAGCCTAGGAGACTGTTCACAAAATAGCATCAAGGGTCCTCTCCCAAGACCTAGACAGGTGCACTTAGCTGAGCTACATGGATACAAGACTCAGCTGTGAGCTGAAGTAGCAAAAGCAGTGTTCTTCACAACAGAAGTCACTCTTGAGATATGAAACAATAGAAGAGTAACCTAAGACCTCAACATGAAGCTTAGTTGTGAGCGCTGATCAAGGTTTAACCTAGCAGATAGCAAGAATTACAGAGCACATGATACGGACTCAGTATCCAGGCTATATGCTCCCTTAGGACATGGTGGTGACCTGCCTGTCGGCAATAAGAAGGGAATGAAATAGAATCAGTTGTCTGGGAAGTCCAGCCAGTTATCTCTCACAGTGAAATCGCTGAGCTTTTCACCACCATGGAACTTAGTATTAGGAATTTTGACACCTGTGCTTGCTCACTAGCGAATCTCTGCAGTAAGGAGGGCAGAGCCAGATTAACACTCTAAAATACAGAACAGGTATTTAATCTATCTATATCTGAATAAATGAGCTCTTCTTGGGGCTAGGGAGCACTTTACTCCATAAAGTGTGTGTGCATACACATGGATCTGAGTCCAGTCCCCAGCACCCACATAAAGGTTGGGCATGGTGGCACGTGCTTGTAAATCCCAGCTCTAGGGAGACAGAGCCAAGAGGATCCCTGGGACTCACTGGTCAGCCAGCTAGCTAGCCTAACTGACAAGTTCTAGGCTAGAGAGATCTTATCTCAGAAAACAAGGTGGATAGCATCTGAGGAATGATACCCACGCTTGAGAGTTTAACACAATCTCTGCTGATGCATGGCTACAGTCCTGACCCTTGGGAGGCTACAGCAGGGAGATCAGGAGTTTGATGTTAGCCTAGGCTATACACTAAGTTCAAGGCTAGACTGGGCTATGTAGAGACACCCAATCTCAAACAACAAAACAGCCCCCAATCCAATCCTTATTTTCGTTCCCTCTTTTATTTCGTGGTGATGAGAACTGATCATGCCTTTGTTGTTTGCTTTTCGACAGCAAATTCGGTGGAAGAACTAAGTGTCACTTGCTACCCTGAAACCTGCCTCACTTCTCATTTCTGCCTATGGAAACAGAGCTTTCTTCTTGGGAGGGTCACAGCATTCAACCACTTGAGCGTGTCATTCACAGGCAGTGCCTGCTGCTTTGGGGACAGAAACCAGCATCTGAGACATGATCTTCAGGCTGATCTGTGTGCACGGGACAGATCTAAAGGCCAGTATCTGAGGCTCACAGGAAGGATGCTCTGCCTCCGGTGCTTACCCAGGTGGGAGCCCATCCTGGGTAAGATGTCAGAGAGACATGACTGCTCCAGAAGGACATCTGGACTAAGAGCTACAGGTATCACAGGGTGGTCGTGACATTCCTCCCAGCCATTATGACCAAGGACCTGGTGTTGGACATTGGCATTTCTGCTCCACAGGAAGTCAGAACAGAACTAAATTGGCTCTTCCAGGGCCACAGGAAGGAGTACCAGTATTGCTCAGGACTTGCTGGAAACCAGATCATTTTTCTCAAGCACAGGGCCACACATCTTAGAACAGACTCTTCCTAGACATTGGGTATCTTCAGCCAGCACCCATCTGCCGTCCCTGTCCACTTTTCGTTCCTAACTTAGGGTCCCATTCTCATGTGCACACTGGGCGGTGTGCCATCTGCTTCACCTGGTCCTCGGCTTCGGCCTCAGTCTTCCATGGAGTTCATATTCACCAGTGCTGGAGCGCTCTTCTTACAGGCAAAAATCTTTCACAAGACTCCCCTGGGCTACTGTGGCAGCACTTTACTTGGATATCTCGATAGGGGTTTGTTCCCCACTTGGTCTGCTGGGGACTTCAGCCATGTTCTGCCCTGTGCCTCCTGAACTGGATTTCCCTGCACTCCTAATAAAACTGCTGCGGTCTTGGTGCCTCCTCTTCCCCATCTGTTACTCAGGGTATGGTGGGTCTTGTGTGCATCTGTGACCGCCCCAGCTGTCAGCACATGATGGAGTGTGACAGTGTCACCGTGAGGCAGGAGACAGAAGGCCTGACTCTCCTCAGCTCTGCTGCTCACAGTCCAGAGCTGGGAAGTCCCTTACTCTGGGAACCCATCTTCATCTGTAGAAAAACCGCACTCTGGTCTGCGACTGGAGCGTTCTACAGGCATGAGGAGTGGGTGAAGTGGTAGGAAAATCAGCCATGCACACAGTCTAAGACAGTGTGCTTCTTAGCTGGAGGCAGTTTGGGGCTGCGGGAAATATTTAGCAACGTCTGAAGGCGTTTTTTATTGCCATACTTAGGTATATTGTAGATATGCTGTTATGTGCAGAAAAGGCCCCCATAGCAAAGGATTATCCTGCTTAAAACATTCGTAACAGCTGTGTTATACCCTGCTTTAGGGTTGGAGAGATGGCTCCGTGGGTAAGAGTGCTTGCCACCAAGTCTGGGGAGCTGAATTTAATCTTTAGGTCCCACACGGTAGAAGGCAAGAACTGACACCTGTAAGTTGTCTTCTGACCCTCACATGCTTGCGCGCACACACACACACATGCGTGCATACAAATATTAAATAAAAAATCCTTTTAAAAGGATCAGTTCCCAGCTTCTGCATTTAGCAATTATCTACAGCTCTAGGTAGCCTCATCCTTTGTCACTTTCCTGAGTATCGTTTTTACTCTTGAAGAAATGAGTTTAATTACATCAGACTTCAGTAGAGAAGCAAAACCAGGAGGGGTGCAGATAGGTTAGATCTCTCCAACCTCACCACATACTTCATTCTAGGGATTTGGTCCAAGTCAAGACCAAATTTGGCTACCAGTCTGTATCAAGTGGTTGCTTTTGTGTCTGGGGATGGAGTTTGGGTTTTATAGGGAAAGCAGTGAGGGAGGGAAGGTGGCTGTAAAGTGAGGGGCAGTAGGGATGAGCTAGAACAGGAGTCACTGTCTGAGTCAGGGCTACAGCTGTGGTGAAATCTGGACAATAGTAACCTGGGGAGGAAAAGGTTTATTCGGCTTACACTTCCTTATCACCAGTCATCAAGGAAGTAAGGACAGAAACTCAGACAGGGCAAGAACCAGGAGGCAGGAGCTGATGCAGAGGCTGTGGAGGGGTGCTGCCTTCTGGCTTGCTCCCCCGTGGCTTGCTCAGTCTACCTTTTTATAGAACCCAGGACCACCAGCCCAGGAATGGCACCACTCACAATGGACTGGGCCCTCCCTCACTAATCTCTAATTAAGAAAATGCGGTACAGGCTTGCCTGCAGCCTGATCTTAGGATGAGGGTCTCTCCTATCAGTTAACTCTAGCTTGTGTCAAGTTGATTTAAAACTTGCCAGGGCAGTTCCAGAGTGGGACACATGCTCCAACCTTAGAATAATATCCTGCAGGAGCAGCTGGTTTTTGTCGCAAAGTCAAAAATGCCCTAGCCCAGGAGTGAGCACTGAAAGAGGATCCAGGAGCAGGCCGAGCAGTTCCAGCCAGCCAGAGTCATGATGCGGCCCTGCAAGCTGAAACGGGAACTGGCTGCCATTTCATTCCCACATTCTAGACTCTTCACAAAAACATCCCAGAAACACGAAAGAAAGAGGTTCTAAGATACATTTCAGTCCAGCCAAGTTCACATCACAGCTACAACATGGAGTCCCCATTTTTGAGGATGTAAAAAAGAACACCTAGAATTCATGTCTGCAGGGTGCTGCATTGGTCCTGCAGGACTGGCAGGTTTTGAGTTCCTCTTTCCTTTGGAACAGAAAACAGCGCTTGCAAGAGCAGGATGTGACATCTACTGTGTCACATTCCTGTAAGGGGATAGGAGAAGCCAATAGATAGCAACTAATGATACAAATATATTATGTATACAACACAACATTCTACATCCATGTATGCCTGCATGCCAGAGGAGGGTGCCAGATCTCATTACAGATGGTTGTGAGCCACCATGTGGTTGCTGGGAATTGAACTCAGGACCTCTGGAAGAGCAGCCAGTGCTCTTAACCACTGAGCCATTTCTCCAGCCCTGCAATTATATTTTTATGAATTGTCTGAAATATATAAATTCATATGTAGGAAACATTGGTGACTCCAGGAGGTTGGAAGTGGGAAAGAATTGAGAGTAATTGCTTAATGCAAATAGAATTTCTTATGTGGCATATAAAAATGTTTTTGAAACAGGTAGTCACACAACATTCTCAATGTAATAAAGAATTATTTGTTTTAGAATGTTACGTGAAATTCACCTAGTTTTTTTTTTTAATCTAATGAGATTTAGAGACTGCGTAGTTTAATCTCTGATTTTAGCCTTGATGACTACGAGATTGATTATTGAACATAAAAAGACTGGGTAGTGCCAAGGGCTAGAGAAGCCGTGTGACAGAGCGCTTGCCCAGCAGACGCAAGGTTCTGGGGGCTCCAGCGCCTCACATTCCCTTTACAGAGTGTTATGTAAGGCACATCCCTGCAGGCTCACCTGCATGGAAACTGAGTCACGGGAGTCACACTCAATGAGTCATCCTTCCCAGAAAGGGACTGAGGGTATTGTTACCCAGCATGCACAGTTCCTGGTTCAATCCCAGGCACTAGGGGGAAATCATTAAATAACTATCTGCTTTTGTAATGGCGTAAATGAATGTAAACAGATTGTAAAATATATACACAGCTTTAATGGGGAAATTAGACTTACAGTACCACGGTTCCCGCGGCTGGGACCAGCCTGGTAATGAACTCCACGTAAAACCTGAGAGAGCTTAATTTTAATCAGAGAAAAAAAAACAGAGTTTAACACAGCTTTTGGCTGTTAGTTGGTGGCGTGCTGTAGAGAGATTTCCTGATTCGGCATCAGCAGCAGAAAAAACGCTGCGTCATTTTAAAGCGCGACTTCCTGGAGCTGTGCTGCCAGCATGAACTCTGGCTTTAAAGCATTTCAATGGATTTTATGGGACTGGATGTTTGTGTTCCCGCTTGGGATTGGAAGGAGAGTGCTCTGAGACCGTGCTGATGGCTCAGCGCTCCCCGCCTGCACCTGGGCAGACAGCAGAATCAGGCTTAGGCAGGCGGAAGAGCATGGTGGATTCCTGCCGCCATTCAGAGACGTGTTTTCAGACTGCGCAGTGCTCTGCGTGTCAGATTTGGCTGTAACTTGGATGAAAAGAATTTCTGTGCTGCACGCTCAGTCTCAGAATTAAAGTGCTGAGAGCCGCTCCTACCTGGCGGCCCCAGAGCTAGCACAAAATGGTACGTCCTCCATTTTGAAATTTTCCTGACTCAGCAGCAGGAAAAAACTGGCTGTTTTAAAATGCTGGCTTTCTGGGCTGTGCCACCATTGGAATCTCTGTCTGGCTCCTGTAGGAGACAGAGCTTTTGAATGGAGCATTTGGAGTAAAGTGCTACAATTTGTTTGATGGCAACTAGACTCGCTGTGTGCCTAAAAGGAAGTCATTGTGTGCTGTGGCTCAGAGGCACAAGCAGCTCCACCATGCTACTGGTGCAACGTGCAAGGATCAGAGGCATGAGCGGCTCCGCCATGTTGGACTGGGAAGGGCAAGCAGGCAGTACCTGTTTTTGACCTAGGAATTGTCACAGCTTAGATTCTTAAGTGCTTAGTGATTTAAAGTCGCAAAACAAAGTGCTCCTGGATAGTAAAAAAAAAAAAAAATTACAGATTCACAATAAAACAGATTCAGACACTGTTGGATGAATGTAAGTAGGCTTGGGAGAGAAGAAAAACAATATAAAGAATAAAGTTAATGTCTTAAAAAAAGGGTAAAGTCTTTAAAGAGACAGAGTACAGATAGTTAAGAGATTAAAAGAAATAAAGAAAAATAAGCCACGTAAAAATGGAAAATTCACAGAGAGTCTGGATTATGTACATTGTGTTTTCTTTAAAATTTTTGACTGTGAAGGAGCTAAGTACAGAGAGACATTTCATTATATGGGCTGCCAAGTGGAACCAGAATGGATATCATGAGGGTATGATTTCAGAATTTGGGTCTAAGGATATGATGCTTTGGAAAGGGTCTTCTTTTGTTTTCACAGAGGATGTGACCCTGTGGATTGCATCTATTCCAATATGGTATGATAGACCTCGCCCTCCTGAAAGGTTGCCGTGAACACCCTCAAAAAATTACTTCACTCAACTGCCAACTGAGATAAACCTGGCACACAGGTTACACCTTAAATGATCTGATTAACAGTGCCCCCATTTAGCAGGAAGCAGTTTGGAGAGAAAAAACTGTGCCCATGTTCCCAAAATATTGTTTACAAATGTTCTTTTACATTTAAAAGGGGAAATGATATAGGTATGAATAATTTGCATTGGTATGGATTTTAAGGTCAATTTTGTTATATGTATATGTATTTCTGATCTTGATTAAGGTATTGTGATTGTGTAGTTCATTTTTAAAATGTAATGTATAATTAGGAAATATAGGTTGTTGATGGATAATCATAAATAATAGTCAAGTTTGTAGTCATGTTACTTAGATTTTCTAGATCTATAGAGATATATTTCAGATTGGCATTCTTCATATCTCTCAAAGGCTGTAGAATATGGCATTTAAAATATTTTAATAACTTAGGACTTTTCATGACAATGAGACATGTTTGCTCCTGGCGGCACCAATCTACTTCAAGAAGAAGATGGGCATCGAAGAGGATCCTTATGGAGCTTGATAGCCATTTGGGCAAGAAACTGCTCTTGCCTGGACTGTTGCATAAACTAGACACAGAGAACCCACAGAGAGAGGACTACTGAACTTGCCTAAAGGTGAGATGGTCTTTTGGGGTTCCTGAATCATGAAAGAGTCTGCGAGACATTCTGTAGGACACAGCAGAAAGTGACTGAACTGTCTTTGAAATTTCCTGCTTCATGGAAATGTCTGCTGGATACTATGGGCCTGAAGGCTGAAGATGGATGCCCCAACGGTACAGAGGAACTTTGGGTGACTATACAGGCAGCGAGATGTCTCTGTCATTTCTAGAGCTTTGGATCTCTTGTGTGCTTAGGTAATATTATATCCTTCTGGAGTCTTTGATGGAGTTGAAGAATGGTTAGTTGTAGTTATAGTTTTCCTTAGTTATGATAAAAGATAAAATAGATATAAATATTGTAACTGTAATTCTTGCTTAATATCTGTTTTGTTATATGTAATCTTACTATGTTAAAGTGAAAGCCTTTCTTTTTTGTTAATTCTTGCTTAATATCTGTTTTGTTATATGTAATCTTACTATGTTAAAGTGAAAGCCTTTCTTTTTTGTTTAAACAGAAAAAGGGGAAATGATGGGGGAGAGTCTTCTGTTTTGTGTTAATTTCATTGGTTAAATAAAGAGACTGCCTTGGCCCTTTAATAGGACATAAAATTAGGTAGGCGGAGTTAACAGAACAGAATGCTGGGAGAAAGAAGCTGAGTCAGAGAGTCGCCATGATTCTCCCACTCCAGACAGACGTAGGTTAAGATCTTCCCTGGTAAGCCACCTCGTGGGCTAAACAGATTATTAGAAATGGGTTAGATTAATATGTAAGAGCTAGCCAATAAGAGGCTGGAACTAATGGGCCAAGCAGTGTTTAAATGAATACAGTTTCCGTGTAATTATTTCGGGTAAAGCTAGCCGTGCGGGCGGCTGAGTGGAGGGAAAGTAGCCCGCCGCTCCTAACACAACATGCTTTTTGCTGGTTTTGTTTGTTTTGTTTGTATGTGGTGTGTGTGTGTCAGACAGAGAGAGAGAAAACCCCTTAGAGAGGATTTTCTTTCCACCTTTAGGTAGGTTTTGGAAACTGACCCCAGGTCACCAGGCTTGCATGGTAAGCACCTTTACCTGCTTTAGCATCTCACAGGCCCTGTCATTTACTTTTTAAAGCAGTGCTAAAAATGTAGATGATGCTCCAATCTGGAAGAAAAAGAGAAGACTGGTCAGATGGCTCACTGGCTGCTCTTCCAGAGGTCCTGAGTTCAATTCCCAGCAACTACATGGTGGCTCACAACCATGTGTAATGAGATTTGGTGCCCTCTTCTGGCCTGCAGGAATACAGTCAGAACACTGCATACATAATAAATAAATAAATTAAAAAAAGAAAAAGGAAAACAAATAGAAATCGAGAATCTTCTGTTGGAAGATTCCACCCTGGCTCGGGGTAGCATTCCTACAAGTAGCGAAGGAACTGTGTCTTCCTCACATTCAGGCCACGAAAGTTTATGGCCATGTCTTGCTCCTTTAAGACCAGAGAATGGAATGAACTGGTTGCTACGGGGTCATAATGACAATTCTCTTGGGTGGCTCGTCTTACATATGTAGTTATCAGCTGCCCAGACCAGACGTCCTGAGGAGTAGGGCATATCTCAGTTGGTAAGATATTATGTAGATTGGTTTGTATATGTCTAGGTTTATTTTCTAAGACTGCAGTGCCCACGCTGTAGCTAAGGGATCAGTGGTACCCAGTTTGGGCTCTTTTCTGCCCTACAGGGAACACAGAGTTTACTCAAAGTAGAGATTTTCTTTGAAACAAGGTTCTCTGTGATCCACAATATTTCTAAAGCTCACAGAATGGAAGAGGAAAGCGCCTAGCAATGAGAACCCATGAAACCTACCGCTATCCTAACTCCTGCTGAAAGATGCACCCGTAGCCAGTATGGATAAATCTTCCTGTGAATTCCCTTTCAGGTTTCATGAATCCAGGGTTCATGACCCGTAGGTATTAGGCTGCCTCTGGAAGGAGCGCTGAAGCCCACTGCCATGAGGACACGTGACCTAGTCCCACATCAATGTGACTTACGCCCTTGTACCCGAACCCTTTTCTCCAGGGTGGAGGAGCCATGTTGTTTGGTTTCTGTCCCTGCAGGAGATGGTGGTTTGGAAATGGATATACTAGACGACCTTGAGTCCCTGAAGTTTGAGTATGGGATTCCAGAGGATGAGCA